TTTAGGTTTTTCTCAGTGATGGACTACTGAGTCATGATTTGTAATCTGTATTTGTTAGTTCTGTTTGATTTACTGTTGTCTTTTTCCAAAATTGTCAGTGTTTCTTCATAATTCCTTTACAGTATAGGCTAGTTTAAAGGAGTTGGAATAATATATTTTCTAGCTAGGAAGAACTAAGCTAGTCTCAGTATTAGTGAGAGGAAGTTTTATGAGCTGAGGTAGTGACCAGCAGAAAATCATCGATGTCCTACCCAGGATTTGGGCCCAAATTCCAGTGTTATATGGATGGTAGAAGGGATTACGGTAACTCTCACCTCCACCAAGTTGATTTGTTTATTTCTCCCTCCCTTCCTCCTTCTTCCCCTCTCTCCTTTTCCCTCTCCCCCTCTCTTTCTTGGAGGCAGGGTTGGCATAGCCCAGACTCTCCTCAGACTCCTGATCCTCCCGCCTTCACCTTCTGAATGCTGGAATTAGAGGTGTGAATCATTATTTTTGGATCCCTAACTCTATGATGTCATACACATTACTTTTATGTGTATGACATCATAGAGTTAGTTATCTGAAAGGAGGGAACCTCAGTTGAGAAAATCCTCTGTAAGGTTAGTTTATAGGCAGGCCTGTAGGGCATTTTCTTAATAAGTGATTGATGGGTAGTGCTATCCCTGGGCTAGTAGTCCTGGGATCCGCAAGAAAGCAGACTGAACAAGCCATGGGGAGCAGGCCAGTAAATAGAGTTCAAAAGAGAGTATTGGATTCGCTACAACTGGCATTACAGATGCTTGTGAGCCATCACATGGGTGCTGTGAACTGAACCAGTGTCCTGTAAGAGCAACCAGTGCTCTTAGCCTCTAAGTCATCTCCCCAGGTCCATATCTGAATATTGTTGTAGAAAGAAAGCTAAAATGCACCCATGCCTCTTCTCTGAAAACCATACACAGAATGCATTTTTATATTTCTTTAATAAAGAAAGACACATGAGACAAGTAGTTGGTTAAAAAAAAAGTCTCAGAACAAAAAGCCATCACAGAGTTTAACAAAAAAAAAAAAGAGAGCACATGTGACTCTTTCTTTTCAGCCTCCCCTCCCTCGAATTTTGATTCAGTAGGTCTTCAGTGGAAATCATGGCTTCATATCAAGCAGGTTATCAGGTGGCATTGCTCGCCCACAGATCACAGTTTGAGAAATGCTGCCTTATGGTATAATCTGTGTGGGGAAAAAACCCTTGCATTCATGCTTGTTTCTCTTAACTTGCCCATTTTATGAATAATAGTTATTTTCCCTAAAACCTCCAAAGATAATCAATGGTGTTTTATTTGAGAATTATAAACTCAAGTCTGAAAATGAAGAAAGCAATATGCCTGACCTATTTCAGTTCCCCTGTTACTGTTTTCTCTCACGTGTTCAGATTTGTGATGTTTAGCTTGCGACAGCACCTCTCATTGGCTTCTTATATCCTTCAACCATGACCCATTCCCTCATCTTTGAGACCTTCTCTCTCTTCAGATAACAAAATTTGTCCAACTCGGTTTGTAAATTTCACACTCTACACTTTAATTCATCCATTTCTCCAAAGGTTCTTGGTGCCTTCAATATTTTTGTATGAGATATTTTTTTTTCTCTCTCTCTCTCTTTTTTATAGAAGTGCATTCTCGGCTGGACAAGTATTTCAGGACTTCAGTCCCAGCACTTGGGAAATTGAAGCAAGAGGAGTATTACTGACAGTTCAAGGCCATTCTAGCCTTACATGGTGAATTCCTAGCCATCCCAGGCTACAGAAGGAGGCATTGCCCCCACACCCCCACCACACCCCCACCACACCCCCCCCACCAGAATGAAGAAGGTGACAGTAAAGAAGCAGATAAACAATCTCATTCTATTAAAGTAAGTACTGTGATATTTTAACACATTCTGCTTGGGATTCACAAGGAAATTTCATGTATTTGAAATCATGCAATAGTCAGGAACTGATATTTACCAATTTTATTTTAAAAGAAATATTTGTCAAAACTTTCCATATTGTGTTGGTGAGATAGCTCAGGAGAAGAAAACACAAGCATGATGGCCTGCCTGAGTGTAATCCCAGAATTCATGTAAAAATGGACAGAGACCCAACTCCACGTACTCTTGACTTGTGCATGTGTGCAGTATCATGGCACACCAACCTCTCTCTCTGTCTCTGTCTCTGTCTCTCTGTCTCTCTCTCTCTCACACACACACACACACACACACACACACACACACACACACACACACTGCTCTTACATCAACCTGACACATAGTTATCTGAAAAGAGGGAAAGACTCTCAACTGGGAAAATGTCTCTGTAAGGTTAGTCTATAGGCAGGCCTGTAGGGCATTTTCTTAATAAGTGATTGATGGGTAGTGCTATCCCTGGGCTAGTGGTCCTGGGATCCGTAAGAAAGCAGACTCAACAAGCCATGGGGAGCAGGCCAGTAAATAGTAAAAAAAAAAATACCAGTGACTCCTCCATGGACTGCCTCCAGGTTCCTGCCGTGCTTGAGAGTTCCTGTCCTGGATTCCTTTGATGCTGAACTGCAATATGGAAATGTAAGCTGAATAAACCCTTTCCCTTCAACTTACTTTTTGGTCACAGCAATGGTAATCCTGACTAAGATATCTCCCACCCATCCATCTCTCTCTCTCTCTCTCTCTCTCTCTCTCTCTCTCTCTCTCTCTCACACACACACACACACACACACACACACACACACACACACACACATTATACACAAATAGGAATGATAACTTTAAAAAGCTTTTCTATATTGTTAAAAAACTTTATTTTTAATTATGTGTATGTGTACATAAGTATTGGTACTATGGAGGTGAGAGGCATCAGATCCCCTGGAGCTGGAGCTACAAGTGGTTATGATCACCTCCTTCTGGGTCCTCTGCAAGAGCACTGTTCACTCTTAGCTACTGAGTCATCTCTCAAGCCCCCATTAAAAATTTCTGGTGTCTATCATCTTAATACTGATATTGTTTTCCACTGTGTGGACTTACTCTAATTTCCCTAACCATTCTACAAATTTTAGACACTTGACTTGCTCTCATAAATGGTGCTTTAGTGAACAACTCTGTATTTACATCTTGAACCTCATTTAGTATCATTTCTTTATAATCTATTCCAGAAGTCAAATTCATAGATCAGAGATTATGAAGCTATTTAGAGCCCTGGGAACCTATTCCTAGAATGCTGTCCAGAAAGAATTATGCTTGTAATTTTGCCAGTATTGAGCAGGTTGCAGACTTTGCTAGTATGGTGGGTGAAAAATACCATTGTTTCCATCCAAATTTTTATTCTAAATATATTAATGTTAGGTTTACTATGTTATTGTAACTTGTCCCCTAGTTTATCATTTGCCTTTTAGTCTGATACAACGTTTTGGTTTGTGTGTGTGTGTGGAGAGAGAGAGAGAGAGAGAGAGAGAGAGAGAGAGAGAGAGAGAGAGAGA